CGCTGTTCCCTGGGCAGGCCAGTGGGGTCTGCCCACGGTGACCTCGGCAGCCGTGCTGGGCATGTTCAGCGCCACGCTGGCGGGCATCATCGAGTCCATCGGGGACTACTACTCCTGCGCCCGGCTGGCCGGAGCCCCCGCTCCCCCCGTGCACGCCATTAACAGGTACAGCCACCAGCCCACACCGGGGCAGCCCTGGGCATTGGCGATGGGGACCAACCCCTCTGTGGTGTTCCCCAGGGGCATTTTCACCGAAGGCATCTCCTGCATCATCGCGGGGCTGCTGGGAACCGGCAACGGCTCCCCCCCCTCCAGCCCCAACACCTCCTCCAGCCCCAACATCGGCGTCCTGGGCATCACCAAGGTACCGGGGCTGCAACAGGTCCCACCTCGGCCTGGGGTTGAGCAGCATCACCCACCGCTGGTCTCTCTGCGCAGGTGGGGAGCAGGAGGGTGATACAGTACGGGGCCGGCATCATGCTGGTGCTGGGGACCGTCGGCAAGTTCACGGCGCTGTTCGCCTCCCTGCCCGACCCCATCCTCGGAGGGATGTTCTGCACCTTATTCGGTAACCCTAGCGCACCAAACCTGGGGTGCTGTTACCATCAACCCCAGGACATGGGGGATCTGGGGGCTTTGAGGGTTTGGGGCGAGCCATGGCTGGGTTCAAATGCCCCAGCTGGCACCGTGGGCATCCCTGCCCGCCCACGACCCGGCCACCGTCTCCGCTGGCAGGCATGATCACGGCCGTCGGCCTCTCCAACCTGCAGTTCGTCGACATGAATTCCTCCCGCAACCTCTTCGTGCTGGGCTTCGCCATGTTCTTCGGGCTGACGCTGCCGAATTACCTGGATTCCAACCCCAAGGCCATTAACACAGGTACCGTCCGCCAGGAAAAGCCCCGATTCTGAGTGTTTAGGGAGAGAGGAGGGCAGATCTCGTGGGCGCTTGCCAACCCTGGGTAAGCAGTGATTAATTAAGCAAATCTGGCTAATCGCAGCGTGCCTCGGCTCCGTCCCCGCGCTCTCGCAGGTGTCCCCGAGCTGGACCAGATACTGACGGTGCTGCTGACGACGGAGATGTTCGTTGGAGGGACCATCGCCTTCATCCTGGACAACACCATCCCGGGTAACTGAAATCTTCTCCATGGAGATGGAGGGAGAGAAACAGAGGGGGTTGGAGGCTGGTTTAGAGCTGCAAAAGGGGATCGGAAGGATGGGGGGCCTGATGCCAGGCAGGCAGGGGCCGGGGTTTTGGGTGACACGGTGGTGGCTGCCGCAGGGACGCAG